TCTACATATCATATACATCTCGTTATAGGAATGTTTGCCTCACAAGTTTTCTAAAAACATAACTGTCTTTAGATTGTCTTACATAAATTTACTCCTGTCAAAATATATTGAGCAAACTGAATTATTAAGGTACATATATCAGTTAAATTCCACTTTGAAAGAAAAAAAAACAGTTCTTTTCAATTATTCTGCGAAATTTTATCTGCATCTATAGTAAGTGTGGTTAAGGTTTACTGTAGCGAGTGCAGATTTTATAGATTTAAAACACTTAACTTATTCAATATTTGATGTTGTTTTACGAATGAAATTCGAGAGAATTAAAACGACAACAATTGTGATGATGAAGCACAAATTGGCGACAAACTAAAAAGCTATCAATCAATTTTGTTAACAAAGCGATGAACACAATGAAAATAATGAAACTTCACAGATAAAAACTCGCATACAGACGACATACCATACCGGCAGTCGAAACCATAAATTCGAAATTATGTGAAAAAACTTCTAACGGTGAACAAATGTTTTTAGATTTCTAAAATAAAATGCATGGCCAGATACACTCTGCAAGGATACTAAACTGTGTTGAGATGTACGAAATTGTAATGAAAAATATTGCCGATGTCAGTACTGTACGTGCTGTAGTAAAAGCTCAGGACATTTTAGCGGTAAAAATGCTTAAACTGTGATTTATCATTTTCTGCTTTTTTCCAGTTTTTCCACTTTTTTATTTTTTATTTTTTATTTTATTTTTCATTTTGTTTATGTTTTCTTGGTTTTTTGTTTATTAATTTTCTTTTCTGTGCTTTACATTCGAGTTGCCTTCGAAATGCAAATGTGGATCAGAGGAAGCAGGATGAGGATGTAGTAAGGCACAATTGACTAACATTGAGTGATAACTTAAAAACAAGTTAAGTTGAAGCTAACTGGATGTGTGTGGCACTGACTCTGGATGCTCTAAATAAAGAAGCACTCCTGTGACTTTAGTGCAAGAGGACGAAGCAAACATACCGACAGCAGTCGGTAGCAGTCATATACAAAATAACAGGAGCAAATGCTGACAACACAGGCAACAGTTTTGGTTTTACGTCTATTTTTTGCGAAACTTTTTTATTCTGTTTTGATTGTTTATGTTTTTTCCTTATTTTTTGCAACCGGAGGCATTGTTTTACAAGTCCAGAGGATCAACGAATCAACGCTGTTGGCTTAAAATGTTTAAACACTCGTAAAGTTAAACAATTTGTTTCGTTAATTGTTAAACGATGCAACAGGATGATGAAAAGGACAAAATAAAAAACTTAAAAAGTATGGATTTTTATATTTTTTTCATTGGATTTATTTTTTATGGAATCACTGAAATACACTGAAAAGTTCGGACCCATTAAATTAGCAACATTTGTAGTAAATTTAAATAATGAAAACATGTTTCAACACAATTTAATTAAATTTATTAATATTGCTAAAGAAAGAGATTATTTTTAAATGTATTACTATCATTAAATATCAAAAATAATTTTATTTATAGTTGTTAAGAAAAACAACTTAAAGTAACCGCGAAAATATATTTTAATTCTTAATTTATAAGCTTAGTTTAAATATAACGGCTGTTTTATATTGAACTAAACAATTTATCTATCAATATTCATATTAAATATTATAAGTTTCAATGAGTAATTCTAGTTCGTTTTCTTTAAATCAATCAACTAATCATCGTTGCTGTATAGATTTATGTGACTTATAGCATTTATAGTTAGGTTATGATATACCGACGATCTTAAGAATCCACTTATGCCTACTGGTCTATAGCGATACGTTATAAATAAAAACTCAGAGTTTTAAGGACCACCTTGAACCTTCGGCAAAGATTAAAATGCTTTTTAGAGAGAGGTCCTGGAGTTGCCCAAGAGCCTTAAAAAAACAGGCCACTAAAATAGTAACGACGTCGTGCATGCATGCATGCGCTGAATAACAACAAAACAAATGTGAAGCACTTTCATGGTCTCTCTCCACAACTGCTAAAGGTGATGAAAAGGGAGATTTCATCTTTTAGCACGGTTCCCTAAACGTCTGTAACCCGTGAGCAAACCTACCACAATACTGATAGCTTTACGGGGCATCTCAATGAGACTACTGAATATTTTTTAATATAATGTGCTAACTTGCTTATACATGCGTATATATCGTTATATCTTCCCATCTTTTATTAAAAAGTTCAGCACAGAAAGAATTTAATAATAGTTTGCATGACTTCTACGATATTCCCAGATTTTTTAGGTGTTCCAAGTGATTATCTGAAGCATCCCGTCTCGCTAGCTAGTCTGCCTTGCAATACCCGAAAATATTCCGGAAACCCAAAGTAAAGAAATGTTAAATTGCATCGACACTCGTTTAGAGAGGTATAGAACTAAAAACTATATTAAATGTAAATTGAACTGAACTCTAAGACTTTAAAGCAACTTGACTGTCTGATAGTATGTATATTATTGTATTATATTTATTTATTTAAATGTATTACCATTTATATTGGATTTACTCGATAACTCTATATAATGACTTGAAGAGAAATTTTTAAAACCAGCAAATTATATTCGGTTCTTATTGATAGTAATAGTTTTAGTACGTATTAAGTAGATTAACGTCAAAACCATATTGACTATATTCTGAAAAGAATATTTTATCGGAAACTAATCAGATAAAATTACAACTGGAAAAGTCCAATACTATTACAAAATAAGTTCAGTAATTATTATATCAAATGAATATATAATATGAACTAAGAATACCTTTATTGGTTTAGAAAGTCTTATCAAAGTATATATTTATGTTATGTTTATTTTAAAAGCTCCAACACACAAAATACATAAAATATATTGTATATTTCTATATGGTTAATTTTCACGGAAATATTTTTTCTTTTTATTTAAGTTCATGCCTTTAAAATTTAAATTTGTAAAAATTGTATGCAGTTTTCATATCTGCTACAGTCTGCAACACTTTATCTTTGTCTTTTGCATAACATTTTTACACCTACCATTTTAAAAAATAAAGAATAATTATTTTTAAAATTATTATAATTAGTTGAGATAAAAAAACTTATTTAGATATGAGATGTATAAATTTACAAGCATCGTTTTTTTATACATCGTTATTCCGTGGTATATACCACATGGATTTTAATGGTCATTTTTGTTCAAATAAAATATAAAAAATAAAATTTTATTTTAAGAAAGTTTAATGAAGGAATTAATTTTATTCTAATAAAAAAGGAATTCATTTTTTAATTAAAAAGATATAGATAAAAATGATTATGGAAGGTTCTCATAATGTAAAAATCAAACATATTTTCGTTCAAAACAAACATACTATTCTTTTGAGTTCCTGGTCTAAACAAATTAATCTCTTAATTTTTGATTTAGTTTAATGAAATTTGGTCTATTGATCTTGAAATGAAGCTAGAACATTATCGAACTGAATTAAGTGAACAACTATGCAAACTTTTTTCAAAAATAATTGTTGAAAATTTGTATTTAGTTTTTATATGGTTGCCATATATGTTTCTATTTTAAAATACTTAATACACTTTTAGTAGTTTAATAGTTGTATCATTCTTTAAAAACTACACTATTAAATACAAATACGATATTATTGTTGTTATTAAATAAATTACACACAACTTTAACAAGATTTCGTATAATAAGTAGACCATTCATATCTAGTTTTGCAATCTATATATATAGTATTCTAAGATTTATGTTCACAATTCTTTTGTTGAAATCTGGTTATTAAATCTCATATTTCATAATCAATGTCAATGATTGTTGCACATTTTTTCCTATTATCTTTCTGCATTGTTCGAATCCAACTTTTTTAAATAGTTTAACATTTTTTCAATCTAAGGTTACAAATTTATTATCACAAGAGTAAATCATCAAGAGTAAACTATCGCATTAGTTTTATTTTCAATCTTACTTAGATGGATACCAATTGGATAATTGTGTTTTCAAATTAGTATTCTGAGATTTACATAATCATTTCTTTTATAAATGTGCTCTTCTTTAAATTTAAAAAGTATGTATTTAAATTTAAATAACACAAAAACAATTTTGTATGCTCATTATATTAGACAGATTTCATTACCAATGAATTTATGTGCCTTGAACTTAATAACTGAGTGCATCAAATTTCAATCAAATATCATTAAATAGATGTAGAGTTCTATACTTATTGATAAATGAATAAGTGGATTCATTGCGATTTGCCCTCCTCCGTCTATTGCCTTTACCCAGAGTCTATAAAAATTTGTCACCCTAGAAATTAATTGCCCTTGAAAACGGGAAGCATAAGAGCAACATTGAAACGCATTTTCTTTTGAGCTAGTGTTCATTTATTCCAGTGTTCAATTCAGTAATTTAACAACCTATAAACGAGCACAGGAAGTATATATGTCAAAATTTACACAATAGAGACATATGGTCAGTCCGGTAGTAATTCTTATGCTATGTTCGCATTTTGGAACGTTTATGTGCAAATTTTTTTACAAGCTGTAGAAAAACGCACACCAAATTCACCCACAACAATGCATGGCACATAAATAGAAGAAAAGGGTCTAGGTACACCCTTTTTCGTTGGTTACTACATCAAGTACTAGCGCTCTTTGACAACTCAATTTATGGTTGTTTCACTGGTGCTGCGTGCAGGACACACTTAATTAACTGTGACAATCAATTTCGAATGCAACTTATGTTAGAATCAGCAAGAGAAATTTTTTATTTTCGTTGTACATTTTTACTAGAGAACACAATCATAGACACCCAAACAAATAGCTAAAATCAAACACCCACAAAAATAGGCAAATGAAGATGAAAAACAAACCGTAGAAAAAATCCAAATCTAAACGATAATAATTTATTGACTTCGGTAGTAGCATCCTTTTAACTTTTAAGTATTCACGTCCGAATGAAAGCAATTAATGTAATGAATTTGTTACTTTAAGTGTAACTTACCTGCTTCGTTACGGAATCGATGAGTCGCACAAATATGTCCTGTTCTTGTCGCGCACCTGTTAATGAAAAATAAAAAGGATTAAATAGGTATATAAGGATTTTATTTTAAAAAGAGAAAAATTTTACTTTAGTGTGAAGAATCTTACAAAAATATATGAGTTAAAGAAAATGGTTATTTTTCTTCGTTTCATTAAATATATACATGCTTAAAATCAAAGTTTAATAAATATATATATATGTAAGAAAAAAAACAAATCCGTACAACTGACGACCTTACGTAGAGAACCTATGTCAAAAAATATCAAATTATGTAGATGTAAGCTGTAGTAATTCCAAATCTCTAGCGCTGCTACTTGAAATCTGACCGCAGTCATCAGAATTCTTATCTATTCATACATAAGTAAAACAAACAGTTTTGAACGCATATTTGTAACTACAATTTAAGCACAGAGACAACTACCAAAATGTTTGGAAACTGAGTTTTAATTAATCTAAAAAATAAGAAAAACCAAAAATTTAATAGACTTACACGCAGTTTTATACAAAATTTAGATAATAATGGACAAATTATTTTCAAAATTTACATTTTCAACAAATTTTCAGTGACATGTTTTTAAATAATAACTATTGATAATTAGTCCTAACTCTTGAAAAAATGTAATTAATCAAATAAAATAAAAAAAGGTGTTTATTTCGTACAATATATACGTTAAGGTTACAAATAGAAAAGATCTAGAGGACTTAAATAACGCAAGGTTAGAAGCTAGAAGCCTTGCCTTTCATCAGGCAAGAGTTCTCTTAGATTTAAGAGGAAATTATTATTTATCGTTTGATATACTATTTCTGGCGTACGCGAAAACGAATATACGGACAAACTAGCCAGAAAAGGAGCAGCCACACCGATGATGGGGCCGGAACCTTTTTGTGGACTAGGAAATAGTAAGCTTCTTTCTCTCACAAAAATAAAGGAGAATCAGAATAAAAAGGATTATTGGGATAATATACAAAGATTAAAACAATCCAAATCACTTATTGGTACCTATAACAACAAGAAATATCAGGATTGTATAAACCTATCAAAAGAAAAACTTAGAATCATCATCCTATAGGGCACTGTAGACTGAAACACCACCTCACAAAACTGGGTATACTTACGGATGAAAACTGTAAATTCTATGAAGAGAATGAGGAGTCGGCCACACATGTTAGAATGTCCTGCGCTAATGTACATATGAAATAGGCTCCTACGAATGTATATTCTTACGGAAGAGGCAATAAAATTCTGTAAAGTAGGTTCTATACTACGTTTTATTGACGCAAAAGGGTTTAAAGACAGGGCTCTCTAAGTTCAGAAGGGGGCACAATAGACCCGACGGTCGCAGCGTCACATCCCCTAACAATAATAATATACTATTTCTATTTAACTTTTATAATGAAAATATTACAATTGGTTAAGCCAGCTAATATCATTCAGTTATTTTTAAATTTTAAATTTAAAATTTTTTTAAAATTACTCTAAAAAATAAATTTTAAATAAAAATTTTTTTTTGATTACTCTAGAAAAAGTAAGAGCATTAATATTTAAATTTTTTATTTGAAAAATGGTTTAGCTATGTAGACATCAAAAAAAAATTTACTATCACTGCTTCTAATAATTTGGATCTGTATTTTACAATTTCTTTGTCAATCTCACTAATTTACTTACTTTTTCTAATACCTACATCTCGGTAATATAGGCTTACTGTATTCGAGAAAATATTGTTAGCATATTAGTATTCAGAATGACTGAGATGGAATTCAGATTTTAAATAAAAAAGTTGAGGGGATCTGAACAATATATTCTAGACTGAAATTATTTCAAATGTCACAAAGAAAAGAGTGTAGTCCTAGCTATTACTGATTTCATATTAAATCCTATTCAATCGAATTTTGCTATGTTACTTACTCATTACGAAATAGAGATAGTTAAAGAATTCATACGAGTATTAACATTTCTTCATCAAATTTATATTTCAAACAAATTTAAAAAACAACTTCCTCATTACACAAACAAAACTTTATACTCGTATTAAATAATGAGTGAATGTAAAGCCTTAACAAAGTTTCAAGTTACATATTTTACTTACCATTTGCATAGAGTAGTTGCAATCGGTATTGAATACCATTATTTGTTTTTGTGGCATCGGATTCAGAATCCTTTTCAATAAATCCTATAAATGCTGTACGTTCAATTTCGATGGGCTGCCCAGCACGGTCGTATAGAGCAATGACGAAATGGAAAAAATTTGATTTTCTTAAATTACTCGGAGGCTGTTTTTCAAAATGAGCCCGTCCAATACCCAAACTGTAATATAAAATTGAAATATTATAGTCATTACATATGTATGTATTAAAAATTATATTTAAATAAATTTTATAAAAAGAATTCTAATTTTAGTGGTTTTTTAAAATTATAATTCATTATGTACATCAAAATTTTATTTTGTATAAATACTCTAAGTCCATGTAGGAGGTAGAATACATATTTAGGCCGCAGTGTAAATAATACTAGTAATGAAATTTCAAAGGATCTAAGGATTTATTTATACAGGTCACTTGGAATTAAACCATTTCATTAAATAATATAAAGAACTTAAAACGAATATTTTTATGATATACTTTTTTTACTGTTTGATAAGCAATTAACTATAGATAATATCCTTTTATATTAATTTCTGCAAAAATATACAGACTAGTCAGTTATTGGTCGAACCGTTATTTTACTTTTCAAAATATCCTATTATGATTGAAATGTCTTAAGAGGTGGTTACAACTGTTCTAATGAGATATATCACTATTCTAATTCCACAAAATGCTAAAAGTACAAAATACAACTTAATAATTCGTAGTCAATCAACTTATTGAATATCTTTTGATTATTTTTTTTTTACATTGTATACTACTTAAGTGTTAATTATAATTTTACGACATGCTAGATAGTACTAGATAATTTTAACAATGTAAGGATATTAGATATTCATTCTTGTGTAACTTGAATTTTGTAGTGTTCTTATCTATCTATATATGTTAGCGTGTCACTTGTCAAAAAAACCTCTAATTTAGTTTTATGAAATATGTATCTGTGTATTATTATAAGTCCTGAAAAATTTGGGAAAATAAATACACAAAGAAGCTAGTTTATTAAATAAATAATCAGAAACAATGCATTAAATGTCCTTAAATTTATGATATAACTTTTTTATATTTTGAAGGACATACGAACAAATAAACCCAAACTCAAACTATAATTAAAAGAATTTAACATGTTCACATATATGAGTATATGTTTGGCTTATGAGGTCATAGGCAATGACTATGTCCTGTCTACTGTACTGATATCTTCATTTCAGTACTTGCGGTTGGTGTGGCCATAGCATATATGTTGACAGTCAACAATGTGCTGCTACTGTGTTCAGCTCTACTTAAGTTAGTTATGTGTCATTGATGGGTTAATTTTGTAAAGGTAAATGTGATTAGCAAAGTGACCCTTACGGCTGAGAAGTGAGGTTGTAAACGCCTTCGCTTGCTAGTGCACGAATTGCATACATATCTTTCAACGAGTTGCACTGTAACCAACAGCAATTTTACCTATACATACGATACAACATGTTCATATTTATACGAGGAGCAATTTAATTTAGAAAATGCTGATTTTATCTGATTTTGTTATTTATACAAAAAAATGTTAAATGTTAAGAGCGAAGAGTTCTTTTGACGACAGCTCTACAACAAAGACAGACTACATATGGGCTATGCCTTACGCAGAGCAATTATATGTCCATTAAAAGTGTATTAATGATATATAAATGCAAAACAAACACAAAATTTAAATATTCTTGCTTTGTAAGTTTCACGTAACTCTAATGGGGCGGCCTGATAGAATATTTAACTCAATAATAATTTAAATATTTGTGTGACATTTTCTTTCGATTTTATTTACGTACATGCATTCAGCCAATTGCATATTTAAGAATTACAAGAACTCTTGATACTAAAATTTAAATTTTATTGTGTAATGCATCATAATTTATCAGTATTATACGATGCCCATATATTTCATACCTTCATTTTGTTGCAATGCGAAAAATTTCACAACTTTTTATTGGACACGAAAAACACAATTGCCGTCATAAATCATGATCATTAAAATTTTCACAATCGATTTCGTTGCAATTTGCAAAATCCTTTCTACTTTCACATAAATTTCACAATGCAAATTTACTACAAACTTCATTTTATTGTTGTTGGGAAAATGCTATTTTATTATAAGTCGCTTTTGGAAAGGATAAGGAAATAATGCTGCATTTATTCCATTCAAGTAATTTAAGATATACCTTTGCATGTAGGATTTTATATTGCAGTTATAAGGGTTATTATATGTTATTTAGGAGATTTATTTAGGAATATAAGTACTAATTTTAATTTTAAATTTTTTGTGCTTTATTTTAGGTTTATTAATATAATTTTCAACTTTAAGTGTAGAAGGGACAAACTATATGTCCACTTAACGTATATTTAACAATATAATTCTTTGTTTTTATAAAGAATAACTCATTGGTTTAGAGTACTTAAGAAAACCCACACTAAACAAAAACTATTTTTATATAGTTAAAACTCACATATCTTAACAACTTCTTTGATAAACTTTTTTATATTGTCTTTTAAATTGATACTAAACATCGGAGCGAATGAGTAACAATATTTGGTATCACATAATTTTGTGCGTGTTTATAGAAAAAGGGGAAAGTAGTGTCATTTTATAGCCTATTGTTAAGAAAGGCAATAATGTTCAAAAACTAGTTCAAACGAATTCTCAATAACGATATTACACGATATATACAATATTCGGAAAAATTGACCAACACTTCTCAAATGATAGCATCTTTGAACACTAACTGCTTCAATTAATATTGAATAATATTTCCTCTACTCTTACTTTTTGGATCAACGAATCACTTCTCTTTTTTTAACATTATATTTTCTTTTAAACCAAACATTGTTATAATCATATATGATTTGTTTTAATTTCTTGATAAAGTTTAATATTAAGTCCAAACAAATATTATTTTAATTAAAATAAAAACTAATAAATAGTATATCTGAAATATATAAACTAGCATACCATCCAATTATGCAATTACATACAATTAAGTATGTTAATAATTATATTTATAACTATTTAAATTTATAGAAAATATAGTTTAGGATTCTTATATGGAATATGCAATTAGAAAATAGAAAATAATATAAAATTGAATATTACTATAACCCAAACACTTCCATTATAGACTAATCGTAAAATGCTTAGAATTGAACCTTAGAACATGTAAGTCTACCTCATTGCAGGCTTTTTAAGTATGTACTATTTCTGGGTTACGTTATGTTAGGTGTTATGACGTAGTCTATTGGTAGTCTATAGGTCTATTGTGATACAACGCAGGACTTTTGCTACAATCATTCTGTATTTTCTTACAAATATGTTATCAGACATAAAATAATTGCAAAGGCAGGGAATAGCTTTCATTTAGAATATTTGTGTGATATTCTAATGTAAGCGTAATTGAATGTATGCAATTGAAAACAGATTTATTAGTGCTGAGTGTTCATATCTTTTTATTTCCTATCTGTTATGAAAGGTTTACATCTTTTTCTATAACTGCGGTAAGTGTGTAATTTGTTTACGCTCTGGTGACCACCAGCTTTCAAAGATGGGATTAAACCACGCTGGCATCTGCAGATTCTGTAAAACAGAACGAAATATATGCTAAATATTTTTAAATAAAAGCTTTTCATTGATTTTGGTTTAAGAGTGGATAATTTTATTTAATAAGATTCTGTAAGAGACAGGGTGAAACTTTTATCCATATTACTCGTATATGTTCTAGCCATATGATTGTCAGGAAACGAGCCCAATAGCTTATTTTGATATTTTTATTCAAAAGAAGGAGATCTAAAACCAAAAGATATTAAACTTATTAACAGCCTTAAGTTGTCCAGTTTATTTAGGAGGCTCACAACTTTAAAAGCACAATAGAACTTAAAGGTTGCAATATACCATTATTTCATTCCAATTATAATAATAGCAAACAATGATGGTCTAAGTAATTGAAGAATAAGTCCACAATTATTTGTTTTTTTTTTTTATATTACATGTAGCATACACTTAAAACTATTAGCAATAATTAGTCCAAGATATTATACATTTCTATTCCATTTAAAAATTTTACTCTTTACTCACCAAATAAATGCTATCACATCATTTAGTGGCACTTACTAGTGATAATAACTGTCGATTAGACTGACTGGTGAAAACTCAAAAACTACTTGTTGCGACCCAATACTTCTCTAAAGAGGTATTTATAACAATATTTTTTCCGAAAAGAGTTCGATGTTATAATTCAAAAACGAAGAAACTAATGTGCATATTAATATGCAGTCATCAATTCTTCCCATTATATTGCCCAATATACTTAGTACAGTCGATATTTATTTCATTACTTTAAAAATATCATGACAAACTTAATAAAATTTTATTTGATAAAAATCATTATTTTTACAATTATGATTTATTAATGACATGAGATTAAAAAAATAATATTTTACTTCTGATGTGGTTAAGTGGTCTATTTTCAATATAATAATTGATTAATTATTGGAATCTATATTTGCAATTGAGAAGCTGGGCGACAGGAATATGGCTCGAAAATTCTATCAAAAAATTAAAAGCCTGACAAATGGTTATAAACCCGGAGCTAATTCCTGCAAAGATGAAAACGGTAATCTGGTGATAGATGTCCAAAGCATGCTTAATATTTGGAGGGATCACTTCTCGAAACTACTAAATGGCGGTAGTAGCAATGTGACTGAAAGCGAAGATGATCCCGAATTTTCAATCGTTGACGATGAAATAGTCGTCTCGCCTCCCGATCATAATGAAGTTAAAACAGCTATAACGCGGCTCAAAAGCAACAAAGCTGCAGGCGCCGATGGTTTACCGGCTGAGCTGTTTAACGCTGGTGGCGAAGAGCTATCTAAATGCATGGTACAGCTAATTCGCAACATTTGGTCGGATGAATGCATGCCCAACGATTGGAATTTAAGTGTGCTTTGCCCAATCCACAAAAAAGGTGATCCTGCAAACTGCGCCAACTACCGCGGGATCAGTCTTTTAAATATCGCATATAAGGTTCTATCAAACGTACTATGTGAAAGATTGAAGCCAATCGTCAACCAACTGATTGGACCTTATCAGTGTGGCCTCAGACCTGGCAAATCCACTCAAGACCAGATATTCACAGTACGTCA